AAAAAAAAATCAAATACTTTAATTAGGAATCTGAATAAACTCTCATCTAGTTTATATACTTCTCACTCTCTGTGTCATTTTGACCTCATCTCTTATTTACCTTGTCTATTGCTTTCTGCTGTATTAGTTTGGAGGTCAAACTGTATTCATAACAGCAGTCAAAACAGTGTGTGTGTGAGTGTGTGCGCGTGCGTGTGTGTGTGTTAATTTTAAAGGAAAACTGTAAAAAATATTTAACATTCAGGGGAAATTGTTATTTGTTTTATTCCAAAAAATTGATATAAAGACTGATAGTTTGTGACCATCCTGCATAGCTTAGCATTAAGACTGAGGTACTTTAAGAACAGTTACAGTTTTCTTCCATTCTTTATGATCACATCTTTTTACACTCCAATTTTGCTATTTCTCCCATAATTTGCAGGATGCTCAGACTTGGTTTAAATATATGTATCCTAATTTTTTATTTATAACTGTTTTAGTTGTTTGTCTAGGAAGCTGGATTCAGGATGTTTATGTGTGCTTAGCCTGAACACAGAACAACAGTAAGCCGCTAATCTGGTTCTGTTTAAATATTCCTACAGCCTACTGGGTCGACTTTATAGGTTTTTAATATGACAGACAAATATCAATTCTCTTATCATCTTTCTGTAAAGACACAAAGCTACAAATGTTGGACTTTAAGTATAAAAACTTGAGTAGCCATTATAAAAGGAAAGAGCAACAAACTGTGTTTATGATGCTTCTGGAGGCACATGAGTAGGTATAGTATACCCAGTAGGGAAAGAACAGGATTCATTTTTTTCCCCCAAGTTCTGTTGGAATCTGTGGCTTTTGTTGGATGACTTCATCAAATCATCAAATCCAGTGCCTTCAGGTCACTTACGTGAAGGCGAAGTTTATTAACCTTGATGCAAATAATGAAACTCGCTTGTGCAAAAAAGGGATCAAACGCTGACACTTTTGGAAAGTTTATTTTTCTCTAGAAAGTTTATACAGAAAACAATACTTAGAAAGAAAAAAAACTAGTCCTATATTTGTATCCATTAATAAAACTGTTGCAAGTCTTATTGCCCACACTCCACATATATTTTATTTCTAATGTGCACAGTGCTCAAGAGGGGATAAGTCTATTGGATTTTAATTACCTCATACTCATTCTTTTAGCACAAAAGACAAACATTGTATTTTTAGCTCCGCTTGGGGTGAAATTTGTTTTATTGGAACATTAAAATCAAAGTACATCTGTAAAAGGAACTGCAAGAGGCTCTGAAGACTAATTATTCGAACAACACTTTGGCAACTAGAAAAAGTCATTGTGCAAGCAGTTGCATGTTCCATGCAAAGACCGACTTTAGAGAGAGTTTGACTTTGGAGATTGATCTTTTTAAGAGCCTTTGAACTGACAGGTGGTCTTGGTCTTAATGGATTTGTACTTTCTCTCAAGGACAGGTTTTTAGAGCAGTTTGTTAAGTGGGCTGGCAGGAGGTTTGGTGGCATGCATTTATGCATTAGATACTTAAAACTTTTCACTCGTCATGCATTCCTTCTTGATTTATGCCTGTTTTTTTTCTTTAAGACTTTGGTCTTTTATACTATTCAGAAGTAATGAAAGCCATTAGACGTTTTCTGCAGGTCACCGATAATATCTTTTTGCCTGTCAACCTAACTTCCTGGCTTTCTGTCCTTCTAGCTGGCTGGCTGCCTGTCTGCAGACTCCTCAGTGGTTTTTACATATTAGAGGATTTCTTTGAGCGGAAGCAGCTTCTTTGTTCTCGTTCTGCAGCAGCTTTGATGTCTTAAAGCAAGTGGAAGAAGAAAGAATAGATACCGAAAGGAGAATTAGCAAGGAGACGTGGAGAATAGAAGAAGCGGAGTGATTGAAGATGAGCTAGATTGATGGCTTGGGAAGGATTGGGAGAAGTGTGGTGCCTAGGACAAAGGTATCTGCTTCTCAGATACCCCAGTTGAGTGTCAATGCCCGGTAATAGTGCAGAACTCTTTGTTCACATGAAAGCAGCTACTGTCAGCTTAGGCATCCATATGACATTAAAGTCTTAATCGAAGCTGAGAGTGTCACAGCAGATGGTAATTGTGAAGCCAAAGGAATTTCCTTCAGTACGTCCTCTGTACTTGACTGTAGACCATAACCATCTATCTAACTTAATCACTTATGTTCAACATTTTAGAAAGCGGGTTATCCAGTGCTCTTTTGTTTTGTTTTTGTTTAGGCATGTCTGTTACATAATTTAAGAAATTGAGGTAAGTAAAATAAAAGTAGATGAAAGAGTGAATCAGGGCAGGAATTGAGAGAGAAATACGTGACTGATAAAATTGCTGGACAGCTCTGGTGTGCTGGACTTTCCACTTTGAGTGCCCTGAGTCAGCCAGATTAGTGTTTGATGGGAAGGTGGGGAGTGGGGGGTCGTCTGTGCTGCTGGCCATTAGTTGTAGGAGTTAAAGGCTGGATTTTGGTGTGGCTGAAAAGGAGGGAGTTACAGAACTCCAGATTGGAGCAAATTAAAGCTTGGACAAGATACTGAGATGAGAGGAAGGGCTGATTTGACAGATGTTTCCGGGGTTGAGGAAGAGCTGATTTAACAGATGCTACAGGATGTGTTGTGGCTGCAGCCTTGATTTCTCCAGTCACATATGAAGAGGATAAAAGAACACAGCAGTATTTTTGACACTGGCACTGCGGTGGTACATCAGCATTGAACATCACAGTAGTAGTGCTGACTGTAGTCTACAAAGACACACAAAGAAAAGGAAAAATATTAAAATGCACCATTATTCAGTGCTTGTTTTACTGCTCATTTCTTCAATTCAATTTTTCTAATTAGATGTGGTCCCTATTTATGAGATTTGGTTTCTTCCTCAAACAGAACTCGTTATTTTCAGTGTGAAAATTAGTTTCAAAATTGGTGTGTTTTAGGGGTAAACGAGAGAAAGTAAATGTGTGGTGTTATTTTAAGGTTACTCAAGGTTTCAAGGTTATTGGAAGTAAGCCAGTCATTTATTATCAGTGTGCCTTTTATTTAATTATTTATTTTTTTAATATTTCCCAGGTGTCTGATAAGTTCTCCTTCAGCCTGTTCGATCTGGACTGGGATGTCTTTATGCAAAATATTGAGGGTGCAGTCAACAGAGTTCCTGCTCTGGAACAGACTGGCATTAAGTCCACTGTCTGTGGACCAGGTACACACACACGCGCGCACACACACATGCTCAGTTGTGTTCCCATCACCTCATGGGGAATTACATTTACTGAGGTCATTTCCTGGAGACTCTATCTGCAACCTCCTAACACTAACCCTTCCACTAATCTTAAACTTAAAGTCTACATGCTAAGATGTAGATATATGTGTTTAACATTACAGGGATTCGATTTATGTCCCTAAAAACAAAGCAGGTCATCTATTTGTGACTATGTGTAAGCGGACATATATATCCCAACAGGAAAAATGCAATCATGCACACATACAAGCACTAGTTCAAAAGAAGCATTTATCTTTGAGCAATTCCTCCATGCCTTTCCCTACAAATCCTTATGCATTACAGCAGCAAACAAGCAACTTTCACAACACTTTGGATGCATACTGTGGTTGCCCATGAATATGTAAACTAGCGAGCTGTATGCCATGTTTGCAGAGGAGATAGTTTGATTAGCTCGAGCCTTACTTCCTGTGCAGGTAATATCACATGCCCAGCTGGTTATGTGAGCTGGTCTGTAGCCATGCTTCGTGGTTTCTGATTTGAGTTTTTTCATTATTTTAGCCTGGAGCAGCAGTTTGGAATAATGATCAGAATGATTTTGTGAGGATAGAAAAGTAAAACAGAGTGATAAAATGAAAGTACAAAAGACATTTAGAAGGAACTTTGACAAAAAGCAAAAATACAAAAAAGAAAATGTTAAAGGGAAATAAAAATTAATAACATAAATTTTACAGAGATGAAATGAAGACGAAATGATGGAAGAAAAAATAAAGATAGAAGTCTGAAAAGCTGTCTGCTCTTCTTATCTGTACCCTTGGCTTTAAGTCCTGCAGGTTTTAATTTTATGTTTACTGGATAAGCAGTTGGATAAGAAGTTACTAAGGCACCTTTGGCATTTCCATGAGGATACAGCAGGCTAAATGAAGGATAAATTTCAAATATAAATCAAATATTATGAGTTCCATCAGTACATGCAATTCACCACTCAGAGAGACTTATTTATATAGACAGAAGTATGGAAAATTGAGTTAAAGGTTTACCGTGTTTTCTTTTGAATATTCAGCAGTTAGTCTAATGTTGCTAAAAGACATATTCACATGCATGTGTGTGTAGGTATATAAGAGAAAATATCTCTCTTTCGGCTTAGTTCAGTAGAGTAATAAAAGTACCGATATCTTAATGTATCTGCTGCAATTTCTCTGTTACATAAGACATTGTTAGTTTTAAAGTTTGCGTGTATTGGATTTTTGGAAAAGTTATTATTGCATTGCAGAACTTGGCTAAAGTTGCCTTTTAAACAACTTCCAGCTCTCCAAAACCACCCATCCAATCTGTGGTTTTTAACGCAAGTGGAAATAGAAAAGGAGACATTACGGTTTAATGAACAGCCAGCCTGCCGTTATGGTTAGGAGGCATTTACTGACCACAAACGGCTCGCTAAGTTTCAGTGTTGCACACAGCTGTTCTAAAGTCTCAGAGGACCAAGCCTGACCAAACCTAAATGATAAATGGTGGCTTGCCAACTAAAAACACAGTATATGAAAAGTTCTGAGCCTTAGCCTTCTCACAATTCCTCCCCACACTTTTATATCTTGTGCAAAACTAACACATCCTATACTGTCACATTGTCCACCGAATATAGAGATGCATTTCTTATTATATCCGCTAACATGTCAGATGATTCGGCGCTCAGACTGCTGATATCGTGATAAGACTGAAGACATCACATCTTTAAATCATCTAATTTGTGGAAGATCTGCTGCCATGTTTGATCATGAATATTGCAAAAACTACTAAAGACAAAAGCCTGAATTTTTCACTGGCCTTTCGTTTCGTAAAAATGAATCAGGATCTGGGATTTTGGATAGATATATCAAACATGACTAGTTAAAATATGAAACATAAAATCAAGCTGCCCTGTAAAATACCATATTTGCGCAAAAACTAATAAAACATTGCAAAAGGAAACTAGAATTATGAATGGTTTATAGTCGAGTTTCAGAATAATGCAAAATGAAACATTTGGAATAGATTAACATGAATTCATTGTCATAAAATGCTACTTTCAATTAACTTTCACAATGGATTGAGAAAATATGACAAGTTGTATCACAAAGACAAAAATATCAGTAGTTAGTCTCATCCGATTCGTGCAGGATTCAGTCTGGAAGTCAACTGCCTGATTCCTGCTTGCCTGTAGCAACTGTGGCATTAGGATTTGGGTTGGGTTAGAGGGTTAGGGTCTTGTATTGGAATACAGATCACACCAAGTGGACACAGCAACTTTACATTGCTACTTAGGTGAAAGAGGCTACTAATCCCGTTTTAACTACTTTGAATTGTTGTGCTATATTTATTTTCATATGTGAAAGCCTTACATCAGTACTTGTTGGGTTCTTTACATTTTTATCGCCTCTTAGTATTTTAAGCTTACCCTGAATTATAAGATCTCTGATGGGCGTCAGAACTGGAAACGGTAGGTAGAGTATGTATCAAAATAAAAAATATGCAAATATTTATTGTTACTGAGCACATTATTTTACTGATATTTTTGTTTTACACTTTGTCATGTTTACTCAATGCAGCATGAAATTTGGATTACTTCTTCATATTTGTGACAAGGAATTTCATATTAAAAAGTATTCTACCTGCTTTATTATGCATTATTGTGAAATTGGGTTATATACACTTCAGAAAATGTTAGTATTTGTATGTATGCAACGTGATGTTTGTTATTAGTGTGTGCTCAGATAAGGGACTTTACAGGATTGCGAGTTTTTTTTTTTTGTCTTCATATCTTGAGTAGATAATACTGTGACTTTTTTAAAAATCTCTCTGTTCAAAATTACAGACCCTGATTCATAAGAAAGGTCCGGGAAAATTTCAGGCTTTTATCTTTTGTAGTTTTTGAGATAATCATGCTCAGACATACCAAAAAAAATATCCATCTCCAATTTTTAGGCAAATCGGAGATGGATGAGCATAAAATCTTCTCAGAATTTGATGATTTGGCATGGAATGACCCAAAGCCAGAGATGACACTGATAAAATAGCCAAAGTAGTCAAATATCCATCTATCAGTCCTTTTTCTTCTGCATATCCAATTCTGGGTCATGTGTGGACTGTATCCTATTCGAGCTACCACAGGAGCTGAGACTGACTCCTGTGACGAATCGGATAGAAAGATTTTGTTCCCACCTTTATCACAAAGTTTCTCTCTGTTATTGTTTCAGAGTCATTCACAGCAGACCATAAGCCTCTGATGGGAGAAGCACCAGAGGTCAGAGGTTTCTTCCTGGGCTGTGGCTTCAACAGTGCTGGTAAGTTCTGCATCAGCTGACAACTGACAGTCTGAAGAAATAAAATAGTCAGAGGTGAGAAAAGAGAGGAAGGGAGGCAGGGAGTGAGCGAGAATCCCAGAGAGTGCAAAGACATCTTAGATTAAATGGTTAGCTTCATAAACTTTGCCTTAAAGAAACAATACATACACTGCACTCACTGACTATTTATTATAAAGTACTTCATCTTTAATAGCTTTCCCTTGAGGAATCTATGAAATGATTCCTCAAGGGGTGACAAAGGTCGAAGGAATCGTAGAAAACAAATGGGCAAAAATAATGAGGAAAATAAGGGAAATGGCCAAAGATTTTTTTTTCTTAGACTCTGACCTAGCCTTCACCAGTCTCTCAAGGCACAAATGAATAATAGAGTGGTTTTCATTTTTCAGCTTTCATCGAGAACATACACATACACGCAGGCACACACAGAAACAACCCGAGTAACTCCATTACTTCACTCAGGGATGAACTTTCTACTGACATTAGAGAAGGAGGAATGCGAGGATCTCAGCGGTCTGAAAAACAGAGAGAGGGGGCGTAAAGGGTAAAGTAATCACCATAAGCATTAAGACAATTCAGACAAAGCCTTTTTTTTCTGCACAAGAGCAAAAGACTATGGGATCCGGCTCTGCAGTCCTGACAGACGCTTGGGAGACGCAGTGAAGTGAAGACCTGATGTGTGGGCATCTCGACACTCATATGTTACACAGACCTCCCTCTTCTGTATTTTCTTTTCTTTCAGAGGTGTAGTTGACTCGCTGCAAATTAATGAGTGGTCCTTGATGTTTACCACTGCCTTTCTATTCTGCAACCACTTAACCATGAAATATTCTGTCCACCACTCTGATCAGAGTACTAACACGTCCTTCGAGTATTGTCTCATATTATACCTGAAAACAGTGGTAAAACTTGCCAATAGGCTTCTTCTCATAAAAATAATAAATTGTCATCAGTTTGGATTATTAATTCATGGCAGCTCAGTGAGCAAAAAGCTAAATGTTCAACAACCTCATGTGAGAGGCCGACCCCCATCTGTTATTCTCTGGTAATTAATAACTATAAAGTGAGCTTGGGACTGTTGGCATTATATTTTCTTTTCTACATTTACATAGAAACACAACCTGCCTGTGTGAATAGAGGTGGTTACAATTTTGTCGTACCCATTTTATTTTGTAGTGTAATGCTGGGTACTAGCTCAGTGAAATTGGCCTAGTATTACTAATATCACACCTGAGTCATTTTCACACATGCACAGCATCCCTGAACTTTCCTAAACATTACATGATGGAGCTGTGCTGCCTGCTCTATGGTACAAAATCAGTGTAATGTCCCATGTAGCTTATGTGTGAATTAAGCACGTAATTGTCATGCGAATTCACAGACAGTGAGTGGGAGTCGTGAGGCTGGTCTCCTGCGTGTGTTACCCGCTCACCAAAGGGAGTGCTTCCTGTAGTGAGAAGACTATTTGCACGTCTTGCAAGTATATACTTTTAAAAACTAGAGTTTGGGGAAAGCAGCGGTACGACCAGCAGCACAGAGGAGAGCAGGCATCAGTGATGCAGATACTGTCTAAGTCGGAGATTTAGTATGACGTGTAGATGTATTGCAGATGTGCAGTAAGTGTGGGAAGGCTAAAGCAGCTTAAATAGTGTGCCCTGCATAAGAAATTGGATGTGCAGAAAGGCATTTGGAACATCAGTTGATGTGGGCTGCCATTGAGATCAGCCGATCTGCTGGGACTGAGCTTGACTTCGTAGCCTGCCTGAACTGTGCTCGATTCGCACTCAGCATCCACACACACAAAGGAAACACTGATGTGCCATGTCGTCCCTTCTTCACACTCTCTGCATCTGTCACTCTTTCTTCCCCTGTCTTTATGCCCCTCTGACAAGGAAACGGCATCTTTCGCATTTTCAGTGACACGGCTGTCTTGGCTCAAGGCCGGGCACAGAGAGGCAGGAAAGTTCAGAGACCAAGGGGTCACTTATGATAGATTTTTTTTTAAAAAGTCATTGCTGGAGCTAAATTTGGTCTCCAAGCAATCACCAAGCCTTCAGACTGGTTGAAGTTGTATTTGTTGCCTGGCAACCTTTGGATACTTATTCTTGGTGTCAAACCCATCATGCTTAACATTTAACTACTCTTGTTTATAAAGGTATTTTTTCTTCTTCTTTCTTTTAAAGCTATGAACTGCAGCACCTCTTACCCGGCTGCATCCTTGTCTTGCTAACAATCACAGGAATAAGCACCTTTATTATTTCTTATTGTGCACAATAAGAAATAATAAGGATACTGGTGCTGATGTAAATCTTAGGAAAAAACTGTCTTCTGTTTTTTGGCCAACTTTGTTGGCTCATAAAATGGAAGCATTAGTGTGAATGTGAAGCCAAAAGAGGATCAAATTTCTAACTTAGAAAAATTATCGAAGAGGGGATCATGAAACACACTCTCTGCATTCTGAGGGGAGTATTGTTAATTTCAAGGTGAAGAACATACTGACTCTAAAGTTCTAGTTATTTTAGTGCTGATTATATGTGCTATATTCAAATAACCAAAGCCTTTAAGTAAAGAGTTAAGCATTTGTGGCAGTACTTGGCTTTCTATAAGTTAGAAGAGAAGGTTAAAAACACTTAAACGTGTGAACTGTAATATATGAAATTGTGTTTGAAGTACATGACGTTTTCTCCTTGTTGTGGAGGAGCTTTGGCTCATTCATCTTTACAACTTCGCTTTAGTTCATTGAGGTTTGCAGGCGTTTGTTAATGTACAGTTCCTACAGCATTTGGGATTCTGATGAATGACCCATCTTAGGCCATGTATCTTGTTTGTCGAACTTCTGAATAACACATCTTGATATGCAGCATTCTGCAGGAAAATAAATTCAGTGTCGGGGGGAAACATTAAATGCAATGTTTACACAAAGAAATGCCTCTTTATAGATGCTGATAGACACATGTTTAAAATCTGGATGGAACCGACCATCCTCATTCAATTTCCAAAATGTTCAGTTGTAGCCAAATCATGTGTACACTAAATGCTGTTTTAAAATTTCAGATTAATGTGCTTGCTAATCTGCTGAAGAGGATATTGGAAAAAGATTTAAAAAAAACAAACAATTGTGCATGTTTTCCTGCTCTTTCTAAGCATCGGTGGTATTGCTGGCAGCACCCCTGTAAATGTCAAGAAGAAGAATTTGAGACAGAGGAGATTAGATGACACATAATGACCGTGAAAGGGGCAAATATTTGCACGGCATAAACGAACAACAGCGCGAGGAGGAAAAGGGACGGGTTAGAAGGGGACGACAGAATGAGTGGAAGCTCAAGCATGAGGATTTACAAGTATGGAAACTCGCACATCAACCCAGTTATCTCGAGTGACATTTATCAGTGCCACCTCGCCTTGCTGGTTGTCCCCACATTGTCTTGGGAGAACTTCATCAACATCCTCTCACCCCTCCTCCCTTTATCGCTCAACCCCTGCACCCATCCATCCATCTGTCTAGCAAACCAGCCATTCAACTGTCCACCCGGGCTCGGAGTGACAGTGCCTGCAGATGAGTGAAGTAATGAGAGATAGAGGGAGAGGGGACGCTGTGAGAGATGGAGATGGAGGGATGACGGAGGGTTGCAAGGACACACTGTTCGTGCTGCTGCATATTGATGTTGTGGTTGCAACACATGGGAGAGACATACATACAACACACACACACATACGCTTGATAACTGCAAATTACCAGCAGCACAATGCAAGTGGGGGGTTGCTAAAAGGGCCCAGCTCATTAACCCGACAGTTTTGGGACTTGACAGATAAAATATTGAATTGCTGATGATTGTTTGTTGGTTGTGTTGAAAGATGCACAATGCTGCAGCCACTGGGTGCAGATGATGAGGTCACATTGCTCGGGGGCTCCTGTGAGCAAGAGTCAAAAGATGGAAGAAGGGTTGAAATAACCTTATGTGGATCATGTGCCACATAGGAGCCATAGCAGAGGACAAAAACTGCTCTGTTTCTCTTCTTTTTTTCCTTTCTTTTCTACAAATTAATGTGACTCTGTCCTCTAGGCAGGATGTAGGTGAGCAAGAAGGGGATTAGAGATCCGCTGTGACTTATTCAGAATATCCACAAAATAGCCTGTTTTTTAAAAAAAAAAAAAAGAAAAGAAAGTTGTGGACAAACATGGGAAAGATGTATATAAGTAACAAAAGAGTGAACTCTGATGAAAATTTAAATTGTACAAAAGCTTGTACAAAATTATACAAAAGCTTAAAAGACCTCCCCATTTCCCTTCCTGAGGAACAGTTTCTTGACACCCTTCCATTGAGATCATTTCTGATGAGGCTTTGGTGAACAGTAAACAGATCAGAAACATCACTCCAGTCTTGTGTCGGGTCTTTGCTGCATTTTTCCCTATTTTAAATACTATTCATAGAATAGATAGTTTGTTTTATTCTTTTCTTCTTCTTTGGTCCTCCACTTCTTTCTTTTATTCTTTTCGAAGGCGACGCTGCACACAGTGTCAGAATATGATAAGTCTTTGGAAATCACGTTGTTGGCTTAAAAAAAACTATTTTGTGTCTGTTGTGCTGCAGTTCATAGCTTTAAAAGAAAGAAGAAAATTGTGCTATCTTTGGCATTTTCCATAGCTTAAACTAAAGAAATCTGAAAAAAAAAAAGATGTTTGTGTTCTAGACTGCTAGTAACTAAATGCCTAAAGATGAAACTAAAAATAGTTTTTTTTGCCAAGTTGTCTGTTATGTGTAGACACATAACTAGTTCATCCTTTTTGGTGGTTATCTGATTGATTTGCAGGTCAGTGTTGAGTGCCTTAGCAAGCAACTAAAAAAGCATTCCCCTAAAAATGATTAAGGACTGGACTGAAAATGAGTGATGTTTCTTAAGACTTTTGCACAGTACTATATGCTCATTTAATTATTATTATTATTACAGTTTAAAGCTTTGGACATTTGTCTGTGTCCTTTCTTTTTAATTTAAATCTATTTTAGCATTTATTTTATGGGTTTTGGGTTGTCTTTAATTTCAAAAAGTGTGAATAAATGCCCATTTTTAAATGATCATTATTTTTTCCCCTCTGGTCCTCATTCAGGGACCCACAGGGAACAATTGAATGGCTGGTTCATTGTGCACCAACAATCATTTTAATTTTCATAAAATTAAAAAATGTAAAAAATCCATGCACATTACAACTTCCCAGCATCCAAAGTGGCATCTTTGTTTGGTTTGACTATCATTCCATCTAAATGTTATTCCCTTGGGCTATGGAAATTTATCTGACTTTGCATTTAAAAAGCAGTTAATCAGGTACAGAAATATTGGCACTCATAATATTCACAGGCTCCGTCCTTTAACCAAAAAACAAACATATTCAGTTTCAAAAGACAGTAAAGAAGCTATAATCTGCAATTATTTTATTCCACAATTACATAAAACTGGTTAATATTGTTTCAGCATTAATTAAAATGAGCTGAATTTGACCGGGAATGCTTCTCACATCAACATCTCTTTTATCCTTACACCTTCTGTTTCAGGTATGATGCTGGGAGGTGGTTGTGGTAGAGAGCTGGCTCACTGGATCATACATGGCCGCCCTGAAAAGGATATGTACGGCTATGACATCAGGTACATCACTCCACAAAATCTACTTAAAATTCTTCAGATTATCACTTTAGCAAAAGGCAGCAGGAACTGCAGCAAGTTTTAATGAAGATTGTGATTTTTAATGAGCATCTTCTGAATCCGTCTCCCTCCTTTCTCAGGCGCTTTCATAACTCGCTGACAGACAACAAACGGTGGATCAGAGAGAGGAGTCACGAGTCGTATGCTAAGAACTACTCTTTGGTGTTCCCCTTTGATGAGCCGCTGGCCAGCCGAAACATGAGGAAGGATCCTTTCCACCAGGTAGGTCAGTGGTTTGATCTCCAGTGCAGACAGTTAATCACAGTGTTTCATGAGGAGTTCAAGGAAGTGACCCACATGCTTTGTCTTTGTGCTGGGAGTTAGTCACACTCCTTTCAGCTGTGGTGTGAGTCACGGATGAGTTTGAGATAAGCGCAGAAATGATAAAAGAACTACTGTATGAAAAGGTAGTCTAGCAAATGGTGACAGAGAGCACAGGACTCATATGCACGACTCAGGCACAGATGAAAAGTTTAAACCTTTTTATTAAAGTAAGGCAGGCAGAAGCTGGTAAGTAGGTGGGTGAAGGGGAAGAAGATACGCATGATTTTTTTTTTTTCTTTTTTCCTTTGAGATAAACATTAAGCCTAACCTTGGCTTCCTTAAAGCTCTTTTAGTTGAGTAATTGTCAGGGCATTCACTTGCTGTGTCTGTCTTGATTTAGACAAACACGCATGCTGGCTTGTGGACCAATATCCAGCTCTTGTTTTTCCCTGCATGTAACTTGACCTGTCATTTCCGATCTCTTCCTTCTGTTACCTGTCTAACTTTTGCACTTTTCTCCTTCAGTCACTTAGTTTTCTTCATATATTCATTCAGGTTTTCGTCAGATTCACACAAGTCTGCTTCCCTTTTTTCTTCTTCTCGTAATTGTGTTGCTTTAGTTATTCTCATTAAAGTCTGCATTTTATGTGTTTCCCCTTTATTTCTCTTTCTACACTTCTGCTACCACAACATCTGGCTGGCTAGCTGAGACAGAAATGTGCAGATAGAACAAATCTACATATAAATGATGCTGCTGAAACCCTAGCTTGTCACATTTCCATGTGTGTGAATGTCAAAAAAGGGACTTAAAAGACTTGTGAGAGATATAGGCATACAAGTGTTTGTAAACTCGAGGTTTGGGACACGGGGATCTTACTCTCTTATTCCGTTGCCTTTGTTCAAACCTAGAGGCAGCTGATTCAAGCAGAAGGCAGTTAGAGGTGTAAGTTATCCCCAGCAGTTACATTTAATAATGCAACCCCTGCCAACATGAATCTAAATGCTACACTTAGTTTCAGTAGCCTGGTCTCAGATGTCTTTCAGCTTCCCCTCCCTCCTGAGCCTGGCACAAACTTTTAATGGGCCCCACTACCACACTTTATGCATTAATGATCCACTTAGACATGCTTTTCTATTCCAGAATTCATTTACATTTAACGGTTGCAATTTGTACCCCCACTCGGAAATGTAGGCATCTTTTCATGAAAGATTATTAACACAAATTCCATTAGTAACATTGTCAATTTGTCTTGTAGCTTATATTGTGTGCTTTCTCAGAATTTGCTTCGTTTAAATATATGAGGGGGTTTTCAACATCTGGTTTTTGCTCTTCACTATGAAATAAAAATAATTTGTAATCATTATGACATATGTTTGTCTTATAGTCATTGGAAGATCTTGTTGTTTACTTGGATCTATGAGTATAGGTTTCTTTGTGTTGGGGAAATAGTAAAATAAAGTCAGACTGAGCAAAAAGTCAGTAAAAAGCAAAAGAATTTAAGCCTTACTTACAGTCATGGTAAAAAGTACATACACCCTCTTTCAATTATAAGGTTTAAATATTATGATTTAATCTGGTCGTTAGCAGATCTTTGAATCAAGGAAATAAAACCTGAGATGAACAACAACACGTACTATTTTACACCATGTCATTGTCTATTTAAAAGAAAAATAATCCAAAATGCAAAAGCAGGTTGTGGAAAAAAATGAAGTACACCTTACTGCTTCCATAGCAACTAAGAGGGCAAATAGCAGCCAGGTGTTGCTAATGAAATGCACTTGATTAACTGATCAAGTGTAAAGTTTTGGCAGGTCGGGAGTAGTCAGAAATGTGTTAACACAGACATCAATGATAGCAGTGAAGTGACTGTTACTGCTTTCTGTCTGGGAAGGCTTACCGTGCTATTTTGAAGCCCATCATTGTACAGTGAGACAGGTTACTCAAGTGGAGCCAGTCTTCTCAGGGGTGGATGTCCCAGCAAATTCACCCCAAAGCGTCTACCGTGGACTCTTCTGTATACTAAATCCATGTATAGACAAAATTGGGTCATGCAACAGGACAATGATCCCAAGCACAGAAGCAAATCTGTAACAGGATGCGACTCAAGACGTTGCACCGAGTCAGTGCAATGACTGAAGTTTTAAAGAGTGGGCCAAAAAATTCTCTATGGCTAAATCTATTACTTCAGGTTAATAGTGATAAAGGTGATTTGTATAAGCTTTTGCATCATGGGGTATACACATTTTTTTCACACAAAACTAATGACGTGGTCTAATAAATAAGAGAGTGTTTACTTTATTTACTTTATTTTTTTGCCATCCATGACTGTCTAGCACAACAACAAGTAATCTTTTCATGTGTAACACACCTGTGACCTTTCCTATTTAACACAAGACAAAGGTTTAATGTATTGTGGCTCGGAGGTACTTAAGGGTTGGATCAATTGGGGAAGCTATGCAAGTAATGAGACTGTCTAGCTTTAAGAGGCAATATGGGATTATTTCAGAGCACATGCAGGCCATCTCTGACACTGCTGCTCACACGTTTTCTCCACCTCGGTAGCACAGATGGTAAATATAGCCTAGTGTGGGAAGTTTTGGCAAGAGACTGCTAGATGCCTGCTAGGAGCAGAGCATAGCAGAACATACCTACCGACTGTGGGCGACTGTCAGTTTAACAAGGAGCCCTGATATATCGTATCTAAAGACTGTTCAAGAAATAAGAAGTTTAATATTTCTGCAGCAATTTATGGAAAACTAACAGTGTACTTTCACTCTTATTGATTCCTGTGATGTTAGATTAGAGGTTTATTGTTTAGGCCAGACAATTTTTTGCTCTTTTTGACAGAATGTACTGTATTATCTTTATACTGACAATGGATCAAAAGACTGGGTGTGATGAGGGGGGAGGTTTGCCTGTTGTGACAAAACCACAGAGAATTATTATCACAATACCTCTCGGCTAGAGTTTTTCAATTCATGCTGGAGAACAGAGCTTAAAGGAAATTGTAGTTGGATCCACAGGTGTCCAGAAATACAGCATCGACTGTGTTCATGTATGTTTTCTTCTTTTGTAAATTGTCAACTGTTTGCTCCCACTTTTGCCCTCATTTAAAGTGTGAGAATGTGTCCAAGTTTTGTGTTAGTTCATCATGTTGACCTCTAGTGAATAAATAGCAATTCTTCAAAGACAGCCACGAACTGCTTTTGCTGTACTGTGCTCTGTATGTGTGGTTGTTTTCAGGTGCTCACAGAGCAGGGCTGCATGTTCCAAGAGCGGCATGGCTGGGAGAGACCTGGCTGGTTCAACAAAGAAGGACCTGCTCCTGTGAGAAACACACTTACACTGCACATATTCTGAATGCTATACATAGTCGCAGGCACACTTTTATATAATTGCCCCGGTGATATTTTTTCAGAAGCCACGCTGGATAGAGGCTGTTAGAACATACTGACTGCCAATAATGGATGATGCTACCACAGTGTCTGGCTCAGTTCTACATCTTGCCTTGTTTCTTGCAAAACAGTAATGATTAATTAGCTTCTAATTGTTTGTGTGTCATATTGCACAGGTTAAAGACTATGATTATTACGGAGCTTACAATGTGAAGAGGAATGAAAAGTACAAATACAATGAACTGCTGGGTCAAGAGTACACCTTTGACTTCCCTCCACATCATGACGTGGTAAGAGACAGTACTAAGAGTAAATGGTATGTGTGGCTGAGCGTGGGTGATCGATAGTGCAGTATTACCGTGCGGTCAGATGAGTATAAACGCACTGAAGGCTTCTAAGGGCAAGTTGGTGAGTTTAATGGTGTTTAAATGGTATCGAGGGAGAACGCACGCTAACTCAGCAGCTTGCAGGATTAAATTAGAGGAAAGAATGCTAACCTTGATTTTAAAATCTCTCTTCACTGCTGTAATGAATGTTGCCTTCAGGGATCTGACAATAACATGCATTCTTCTTAGAAACATCATGCTTTGCAGAGTTGGGACAGTTTGTTTTTATCCTTTTGCTATTATGGTCTTTTTGTTTTATTTTTATTTAGATTAAGAACGAGTGCCTCTCATGTAGACACAGTGTGGCTGTGTTTGACATGTCCTACTTTGGGAAGTTCTATCTCACTGGACCCGATGCCAAGAAGGCAGCTGATTGGCTGTTCACTGCTGATGTCAACAAGAAGCCAGGTCAGAGTAAAAAAGAAAGAAAGAAAGATTGACAGAATAAAAAGGGCAGCTACGTGCATAGAGTTATGAAAAAGATGTGCCAACAAGCGAGGAATAGCAGCCTTCTAGACAGGACTTCTAAATACCAGTATGTAATGTGTCTGGTATGCTGTTAATAGTGGCGACAAACGTCTCTACTGCTTCATTTTCTTATATTCTTGTCACAATCGGCAAACTGACAACCGTGTCTGAATCCTACCATTGTGCAGATATGAAAATGGAAAGCTGCGTTCTTTACATTGCTACTTTTTTGGCCCCAGAGCCTTTCCAAAGGTGAGATCAAGTTCTGAAGAAGTGAGAAGACAGATAATCCTTTTAGTTTTAAGCCTCTCTGTTACTTTCCTGTATGGATTTAGAAAATGTATGACACCGGCATCTGCTGAGGTTCGGCGCACTCGCATCTTTATAACTTCAACCCCCAAGTGTTTTTCACTTTCCTTTTATAGTCTTCAGACCTGATTAAAACTAGTAAGAACATACTTTCTAAGAGTGCATGAGGGTCTGTTAAAGACAGCCTGTATGACTCGGTCTGTCTCTACCTCCATCTGTACATGTGTGGTCAAGGGCCATTGCATTGAAATCATTCCAGATTTGGAAAAAAGAAATACATTTCTCATTACTTATCACAGAAAGCAAACTCAAAACAGCTAGAAGTCTGAGCTAAAGTAAAATGAAAACCAAGGGAAAGGTTAACCCCTCTTTTTAAAGAAAGAAACAATCACAACAAACATCCAGCCTCACATAGGAAGTAAATTGCAACATCTATTTCCCATTTTCCCAGAAAAAAATAAAGAAATGAGGTGTGTCCCAGGACTTTTACACAGTACTGTGCTACAAGAAAGCAGAGTTTTATGAGTTAAGAGGATCAGAGCCACGATTATTGTTCCTTCAGAACAACTAAGTTGTGAACTTAGTGTCAGTACACGTGAATGTATTAAATATTCATTCCTGTTCACACATAGAGCACGCTTCCATTAGTATGTTTCCACTCGACAGCATGCTTAAAATACGTCTGCAAAGTCTGCAGCATGTATTAATTGTTTGTGTGTGTGTGTTGCAGGTACCACTGTGTATACCTGCATGCTGAATAAAAGAGGAGGGTCAGAGGCCGACCTGACTGTGAGCAGACTGGAGCCTGGTGTGGCCAACCTGCCCCTGGCACCAGAATCCAGCGGTGAGATATAGTGTGTAGACGAATGTGTTTCACAGTTATTTCCTGTACTCTTTACCTATTACTGTTATTTCATTCATCTCCCTATCTCCGCATCACTATTTGTCAGCTTAGCTGTTGTATTGTGTTTATTGGATTTAATAATGCGCTATTCTGTTTTATCTTATTTCAGACTTATTTTTTTCTGTTATTTGTGGTTCTTTCACCCAATCAGTACCGTTTATCCACATTTATTAATTATTTTTACTGTTGTCTCACTCAAAAAAAGAGAATATCATGAAAGACGTGTCTCCTTTTGACGTTACACAGCAGTAGCTTGTTTCTTTATGTTGTCATTTTGACTCCACTACATCAAAAATAGCCTGGAAAATAACATCTGTTCAGGTATCCCTTATTTCTGTTACCACAGCTGCTGATTGAAAACCCCCAGGGTGCACATGAATCACAGGAGATAAATTAATTTGTTAAGTAATTAATGTTGCGTAATGACATCTTAGGTGGGAAGCGGCAATTAAAATGCCATGAAAAAGTTGCTGCCGCTCTATTAATTATGCAAATTTCTTGACAAGTCCTGCTGAATATATCTACATAAAGTAAGTGGAAGGATTCAACAGAGTCAACTTTCAAAACATCTTAATGTAATAAACTCTGTTATCTCATCACCAGATCACCTAATGTAGCTGTCAGCTGAGATTCTTCATACTTGATACTTCATTCATGATTACAAACTGTATGCTATAGATAAAGTGGTTTCATATATCTTTCTCTTTCTTATACTTGACCTGATCGCCATCTATCTTTGCTCCAGGTGATGCATATTACCTGGCCATTGGAGGCGGTGTGGCAGAACACAACTGGAACCACATTAAAACAGTTCTTCAGGATCAAGGCTTTCGCTGCCAGTTGGCGGACCACTCTGAGGACATGGGGATGATCAGCATCCAGGGGCCCAAAAGGTGAGGAAAGCAAGAGGGTTAGAAGTGAATGTCAGAAATGAACAAGAGAACAATTGAAGGTGTGTATCTAACTGTTAAGAGACTGTAGGGTACTGAGACCTTTAATATCAACTCTGAACTGCAAAATCCTTGTAAACCTTGTGAAGTTCAGGACACCTGGGGTACCTTGCTCAGAATGCAATCTACTACGGCATGATATCACCTCATCGTACATTTACTGGTTAGATTATTTTTTAGGGCTTCTCAAGTTCACTCTTCTGCACCTCAGAGCTGAAAATAATAAATCCCATGAAGGTTTGCATCAGCTTCCAAGTTGAAAACTAGTGATGAGTTTCAAGGATTAAGTGTCAATTTTGCTGTCTTACATAAATAATTTTCATTAGACTCTGTCAATGATGCAGTTTGTCAGAGATTTAGAGAAAACGGGTGCAGTGATTTATTGAAACGTGCAGACACACACGGAAATCCATTATATAAGGCAAAAACAGAGTTGCACTAATGGAAAGTTCTGCAGGCTTCTTGACGGACATTCAGAGCTCTTCTTTGGCTGCTGGATGATTTTTGCTCGCTTCAAGCTGCTTCAGTAATGTTGAGATTTCAAATTTGAGTTCATCACTCCATAAGACCTGTTGTCACATAGCAATTATTTCTTCAGCTTCAACCATCAACATCAGCTTGATTTCTTAATCTACGGATTCAAATTTGTGCACGGTGCAAGTAAAAATCTTACTGCAGATATGGAGGGAGATCAACGCTTTCTTTATCCTTCCCACAGTTTCCCTTTGCTCAACACTCAAATAGTGAAGCTACACCACCTTTACCTATTCCTTATCTTATTCTCTGCACTCCACATCTATCTTTTTCTTCCCCTCTCACCTCCTCTCCTCCCCAGCTCACCGCCCTCTGTCTTTGTTCTTCCCTCTCACCAGCAGCAGGGTTAGTCCACTCCGTTCCCTGTGTGGGTTTTGTCGATTTTTTTTCTTGAGGCTTTGCTTCTCTCTCCTGTTCTCCTAAGTTTCTTTTCTCTGTCTCTGTGGATTGTATGCACTTCTTTCTCACACACACCCCCTGTGCTCAGTTGCCCATTCTCAGTGTCATCTTCACTTTTTTTTTTTCTAGGTTTTTCTATCCCTCTTGCTTTTATTGCTTACGTCAAACTGGAAACCACTGCGTCACTGCTATATAGCCCAGTATGTGCTCTGTGTGTATGTGTTCTCTCTGTGTGTGTGTGTGTGTGTGTGTGTGTGTGTGTGTGTGTGTGTGTGTGTGAGATTTTATATGCTCATACACACAAGACAATATCTATGATGATTG